GGCTTAGTGTTTTGTATGATTGACATGAGATGATGATGAATGTACGATGAGAAGAGAGTAGCCAGCAGCAGCAGACAGTAGCAGTAGCAGTGACAGTGCCCTTCTCTGCTCTCAATATATTGACTCGAACACACGCCACGCTTCCCTCGGTCCACTGGACCCGCACAACACGCAGCCATTAGCCGTATCACAGACAAGACGCTGCTGCCTGCTGGTGATTGATGATGATGATGATTGCTGCTACTGGCTCACTGCTGCCTGCTGCTACTGCCCTGCTGCTTTGCTACTGCCTGCCTACTTGCTGCTGCTGCCCTGCCTACTGCTGCTACTTGCTGCTGCTGCTACTGCTGCTACTGCTGCTGTGTACTGCTCCTGCTGCTGTACTGCTGCCTGCTGCTGCTGCCTGCTGCTGCTGCCTGTTGGTGGTGCGTTTGTGTGGTTGGTGGTGGTTCGTGGCGTGGTGATGGTGTGGATGGCTGCCTTGCCTGCTGCTTCTGCTTGCCATACTTGCCTGCCTACTGCCTGCTTGCTACTGCTGCTGCTCTGCTGCTTGCCTGCTAACTATGCTGCTACTGCTGCTACTGCCTGCCCTACGTTAACTGCCGCTGCTGCTGCCTGTGCTATCTACTACTGCCTGCTGCTGCTGTGCTGGTTGGGTGCTGCTCTGCTGCTGCTGCGCTGCTGCTGATGCATGTAACTTTCTATATCCTATCTATCTCTTCAGCGTGTCGTAAAGTCTCCCTTTCCCTCTCCTATATTATATATATATAATATCAGTTCTCCGCTCTGTCTCTCCACCTCTATCTCTTTCCTCTCTCTCTCTCTCTCTCTCTCTCTCTCTCTCTCTCATCTCTCTCTCTCTCTCTGGCTCTTCTCTCTCTCTCGTCTCTTCTCTCTCTCTCTCTCTCTCTCTCTCTCTCTCTCTCTCTCTCTTTCTCTCACTCTCTCCTGCTTCCTCTCACTTGCTTTCGCCCTTTCTCACTCCCCCTCTCTCTCTCTCTCTCTCACTGTGTGTGCGTGTATGCGTGCGTGCGTGCGTGTCTGTCTCTCTCTCTCTCTCTCTCTCTCTCTCTCTCTCTCTCTCTCTCTCTCTCTCGCTCTCTTCCTCTCTTTCTCTATCACTCTCTCCCTCCCCCTGCTCCCTCTCCCCCTCGCGCGCCCTCTCTCACGCACGGTGAGCGCGATTACACCAGCAAACACTCTAAACAACTGCTGAGAGCTTCGGCGCACGGCGAGTCGCTGCTGCTAATCATGGCGCGTCTTAACTCAGTCATTAGCTCCGTCAAGCACACTATTAGACATTAGCGATCGCCTTGATGCAAGCGATTGATGCGGGTTCCGAGGGGGGAGCGGGAAGAGGAGAGGGAGAGGGGAGGAGGAGGAGGAGGAGGAGGAGGAGGAGGAGGAGGAGGAGGAGGAG